AAAAAATTATAAATCATTTTATTGGGGGCTCTTATAACAATCCATACATCAATTGTATCAATCACATTTGTATATGTGTAACCATAATTTGAAAAACATTTTTCTACTTGAGCCCTTGGTATCAACTCCTCTTTTTTCCGTCCATCCCCCGCCTTCCCCCGCCTTCCCCCGCCTTGTGACCCTTGATAAATCATAAATTATTTTTCTGTATAGATTTTATTATTCTACTTATTTTTTTTACTTTCCTTTTACCACACATTTTGCACTACTGTGGAGATTTCTTTCAGCAAGCCTCCAGCTATGTAGGTTTTCCCTATATTTCACACACACGGATGGCTTTTCTGGGGTGTGTAGGATGGAGAAGTGGGGGCTGGCTGATGGAGGACACATCTTGAGAGGAGCCTTAGCCCCTTTCTCTGTCCTTGCTGACTTTCCCTCTGTGTCGAACCTAAATTCTTTATCTCCCACCTGTTCTCATTGCTTCTGCTGTGCCTCTTGTAATGACCCACAACAGCTGTTCACATACTTTGCGTGGTAACATTCCAGTGGTACTTGGTAAGAACCCGACGTCGATGGCCTCTTTGTAACAGAACTGCAATTATTCTTGTCATGTTCCAGTTGCTTTTGTGGCTTTCCTCTGGACTGCCTCCAAATCCTCCTGCTCATTTTTAGAAAACGTGCTCTTACACAAGTCGGATTTGTGTATGGATTAGCTGGTAGCTAAACGTTTTCCTGCTCAGCTACGTAATGAGTTCCTTTTCATTTCTATTGAATTCTGAACTTGGAAACATCAGGGATTCATGCTATGTTCCTGTAAATGAGAACGGCTTCTGTAACATAAGAGACTGTGGTTCTTTTGATGGATTGACAGCGATAACATGAGCCATCTCAAGAATAGCATAAATGTTTCAGAACTCACGTAGGCTGTCAGGTGAGAGAGCTCACTGAAACATGGAGTGATCTGGAGATGCTAAAGGGTTGGGAATGAACACGTAGCGCACAGAAGAGAGATTGGGTCTAGAGGACACTGTCTTACAAGTCATTTCGGGCTTGTAAACCATGTTAAACAACGGGAAGAGGAGATGGAGTGAATCGTGTTGTTGGTAGGTGCTAGTGAGTGGGTGCCAATGGAACCCAACACTGCTCAGTCCTGCACTATACTCACGATCATTGTCACAGCACCTAGGTGCAGCCCTGCGCCAATCCTTCTCCTTGAGGGCCTCTTCTTTTCCACAGACCTTCCGCCATGCACCATGCCCTTCTCCAGAGACAGTATATAGTTAGTCATGTGCTCACTCCCTGGGGAATTTCTACTAGAAAGTAGAAAGGTTGGGTTCTAGAGGCGGAGAACCATTTCTTTTTCAGAAACAAGGAGAAAGTGTTAAAATGCTGAGATTTAGGCATGAAAGCAGAGAAATTTGACAGTCTGTGGATAACTCACTTTATTTCAATAAGATCAAATGAGTTTGTCAGCTTAGCATGAGAGAGCTGGGAAGTATTGAGTCGGTATTTAACGGTAACAACAAAAGAGACCTGAACAGGTTCAGTTAATGATGACTGGAATACGTGCTTTAGAATTTTGACAGGGCCAGTTTCAGACTAATATAGTGATCCAGCTATCTCAAAGACTGTCAGCTAAATTCAAATGTGCTCTTTATTGTTTTGGTAAAGATGCTGAAGAAAGAAGTTCTGTTGGCACAATGGTTAAGCACTCGGTGGCTAACCAAAATGTTAGCAGTTTGAACCTATTTTGTACTGCACGGAGGAAAAGATAGGAATCTATCCTCATAAAACATGACAGCTTAGAAAACACTAAGGGGAAACTCCCCTCTGACCTATTGAGCCATTCTGAGATGGAATTGTCGCAACAGCACAGCAAACCATTCAGTAGATCTCCGTTCGACAATAGTTGGGCTTTAACTCATACGCTGCCACATTCGTTATAGACTTTTCTTCCCTTTTGTATAATGAATGTAGCAGGATAAGAGTGAAACATCAAAGTAAGCGAGTAAAGTAGGTTAATATGCAACAACTGTATGAAAGAGGACATGAACAGGGAATATTGAGGCTTATAATCAAACTTTTTTTTTACATTATTTGAATTGTGAACACTACGTCATTTCATGTATGAGAATGCAATTACTGCTCATTAACACTGAAGTAAGCTGAGAAGACAATATAAATTTTCTTTGTTAGAGATATTGAAAAAAATATTAGAACTGCAATAAGCAACCAATTTCAGATGTAACGTTCCGAATTTTCTCCCTGCTCTCCAGCCCTTCCCCGTGTCCTTGAAGAAGTATCTTAGAAAACATCTGAATGTCATATGGAGTGGTAGGGTGTAGAAAAGCACTATCTCCCTCTATGTAACTGGCATGTCGGTTGGTTAAAAGAATTCTGCCTAGGAATTCCCATCCTTGGTCCAGTGGTTGAGTGGAGCTGACTCTGACATTCTGCCATGCTTCAAGTTGTGCAACCCGCCTCACTCTCCTCGGATCTGCTCCGACCCGTGAAGATAAACTGAGTGCTGCCTGAGAGTCTTCGCTAATCTTTTAACTTGCCAGTCCATTTGGAGGGAAGCCCTGGTGGCATACGTACACGTTAGACTGCTCACTGCAGGGTCGGCAGGTCGAAATCACCAGCTGCTCCAAGGGAGAAAGATGAGGCTTTCTACTCCTGTAGAGTTACGGACTAGGAAACCCACAGGGGCAGTTCAATCCTGTCCTATAGGGTCACTGTGAGTCGGAATGAGTAATGGTCAATTTGATCCCAGATAAGTAGATTTTTTAAAAGAGCATTCTTCACAAGTTAAGCTAAGGTCTTGGTTACTTTCAATAAAGTCTGGAGCCCCTGAGAATTTTAAATTGTGCTCTGTACTTGATCCCCATTAATAACAATTCTACAGAATCTCTGATCAAAAGGTTCAGTAAAGACAGGGACACTATTTAGATCTTCTGGTTTCTTGGCCAAGGAGGCAGTTGTTCACAAAGCAATTAACCACACCTTCTATTTCCTTCTCCTATTCACCTTTTTACTCTCTTGTTCCACATGAAGAGAGACCAACTGGACCCCGAATGACTGCTTGCAAGCCTTTAAGACCTCACAAACAAAGAGACAAGACAGCATTAAACATGTTATTAGGCCAATTTACTGGGATAGCCTATGAAACCATGCCCCTAAACCTCCACACTAAGGAACCCAATTCCCACAAGATGTTTGGTTATACATAAGCACCTCGTTACACGTTGGACTAATCTCAAAAGTCCGCAGGTCGAAACCACCAGCTTCTCCAAGGGAGAAAAATATGACTTTCTACTCCTGCAGAGTTACAGACTAGGAAACCCACAGGGCAGTTCGATCCTGTCCTATAGGGTCACTATGAGTTGAAATGACTCGATGGAGTGTAGCTGTCAAATTAATCCCATAGATATAGATTTTTAAAAAAAGAATCGTGCTCAACTGCGACTCTTTTTTATACAAATTGTTTAATAAAGTCATTGTTAGAGATATATTCTATCACACAGCTTTTGCCAACTCAGCTTTTTAACAGGTGTACAATTTATTGGCAGCAAGTACAGTAATTGGCTGGGCACCCCTACTCTTAATCAATGCTACTTTTTCATCACCCTAAGTTGAAACTCAATATTACATGAGCAACAGTACCTGTTTTTCTTCCTTCTTGCCCCTAATGACCACTAAAAACTTTGGTTTCCCGATATTTGCCTTTCCTGTCTTTTTATGTGAGGTCATACAATATTTGTCCTTTTTTACTTAAGTTATTTCACTCAGCGTTATGTCTTGAAGCTCCATCCATACTATAGCATGTGGTAAGACTTCATATTTCCTACTAGTTGAACAGTATTCCATTGTATGTCTTTACTACATTTTACTTATCCATTCATCCTTTGATGGACATTTCGGTTGTTTCCACCTTTTGGCTATTATGAATAGTTTGCAGTGGACATTGGGATTCTAACATGGGGATTGGTCAGCTTTGCCAGTGGACTGGGTATAGAGAGAGCCATCTCAGAGGCTCAGAGCCATCTCAGAGGTCAGAACCTCCTGACCATCAAGAGGAGTCACAGGCAGAGTAAACAAACCCTTTAAACCCAGAGATCCCTGCGCAGAGAAGCCAAGGTGACAGCAGAGGACTGGAACCAAGAGTAGGAAGCAGAGTTGGGGGCGTCCTGGTCCACGGAGTGAGTAAAAGTGAGTGCCTTCAGGCAAGAAGAAACTGGATTGCAAAGTGGGGTACCCTTTGGACATTTATCAGGGCTAAAGGAGTTTTGCAATATTTCTCCAAGCCAGGCAGTCGAGGGGCCCACATGGTTGAGAGGCTGAGGTCCAGGGACAGGTGTGCCTGGGGACATCGCTGCAAAGAGACACTGCAGATGAAAGAACTGTATTATTCTTAATATTTCCATCCTGATTTGTAACCTGTTAGCTTCTAACAAACCCCATAATCACGAGTAATGTTTGGGTGTTCTGTGTGAACCCAGCAGAGACGCAGAGGCCCGTGGAAGGGACTGTTGATATCAAAACAGGCAAACAAGGTTGGAGAGTGGAGGCATGTCGACCTTGTGTCTCAGAGAAACTGGTCCTGGGCTGATGTGAAACTGAATTTCCTTTCCCATTGTGTAGTCAGAGGGGGGTCAGGCATGGGCGCCACACTATTTTCACACTGATCAATAGAGAATTGGCTAAATTATGAAGCATTTCTCTTCTGACACTGCGCCCTCACCGAACATGATCAGTCGCCCTTACTGCATATGCCCTCGTAGCACCCTGTGTTTTTTCTACCTGTGTGTGTGTGATTAAATGTTCACTTTTATGACTATTTAAGTTCTCTCTTTCACTAGACTATAGCTTCAATGAAGCCATGAATACCATGAGACTGGGTAATGCGTGCCCCAAGCTTAGCTTACGGGTAGCACACAGTAGATCCTTAATAAGTCTTTGCATGTATGCTAAAACACATATAATGAAATGCTGGGCAGCCATTTACAATTATAATTTAGATTTATTTATTTATTGACATGTGAAGTGACCCATAATGTATTATTAAACTTTAAAAATTGAATTATAAAATAGTAGCTATTGTATGATCCATTATTATAAAAGGAATACCTGTATATACTGTTACATGGTTAAAATTTTAATAATGGTAGGATTATGAATGACTTATTCTTAGGAACTATTCCCTGGACTCTTCATTACTTTGGTAGGTATCCATTTTTTCCATTTTGAAGGGAATCAAATGGCTACCAAAATGATGTTGCTCTGTCTCAGCCCTTCACTTGAGCAACTAAACGTGGCATACAACACTTCTCTCGACAGCATTACACACAACTTGGGTTTCTCAATACAAACCAAAATGTGAGATTACACTCATTCTGACACTCTTTCTAACAGCTAGTCTCCAACAGAAACATCATTATGATACCTTTACTTGTGTTTCACATTTGTCATTTCATTTTTCTGTCCATGATACCCACTTAATGCTTCTCCCTCCCCTTCTTCCCCTCCCATTCAGGACCGAGAGGACAGGATCAGCCCCAATTTCTTACCTCTCTTATTTTTCACCTGAAGGCCAAGACATCTAGAAGGCAGAGATCGCTACATTTAAAGTACTTTACTTACACAAAGCAAATTTGCGAAAGTGACGTTTTCTCAACAAAACGCCAAAATACTACCAAAACTCTAAATGTTGAGCCATTTTAAACAAATACCTTTAATAGCTTTCGTGATTATAAAACTATAATTGGGCATTTTTATGACCACAGCTTATAATCCTCCTTTTAAAAGATGTTCATTTATATATATCAGACATCTACAGATGTAGAAAAAAGAATATACGCCTGGAGTCTTAAGGGACAGGTATAGAAAAAAGAATATACGCCTGGAGTCTTAAGGGACAGGTATAATTGCACTTATTTTACATCATATTTTGCATTATTGTGGGGCCATGGGAAACATTTTTGTATATATATTTCTTTTCCCAACTAAGAGTAGTTGAATGAGAGTTTTCCATAAGAGTCAGTTAAAAAGGCAATTTTCAAAAAAAGACCAGGGCAAACACTGTCTTTCAGTAACAGTAGTATGCTGTTCCTGTCAGCTTCAAGGCATTGACACAAAGACCTCGCATCATATTGTCACACTCTGACCTATGATAGGAAGGCCCAAGAGAACTATCACACCATTATTCATTTTCCATAAAAAGTCTAGCAGGACAGTGATAAACATTGTGCCTTAGAACCTTAATCATACGATACAAATCATTCATACTACCAAGCACGGTGAAGGACGTGGGCCGGCACAGCTGGGCTTTACATACGCATAATTCTCTGGAGGCGTTAACAAGTTCGAGGAGATCTTGTCCATTCTCATTTCAGGTCGAGGAGCATAAAAGCCGGGCTTTCTAAGTAGGATTTCCACAAGTTAGAGAAGCGGGACATTGTAGCACCATCGATGACTCTGTGATCCGCTGACCAGCTCACATTCACGATCTGGGCCTTGTACACTTCTCCTTTCTGGTTAAACCGGGGCAGGACCTGGAAATATGGCGAAGAATACAGAGTTAACCGTCACTTGTTTAACCTTCAAATTCTAGCACCAGCGGTGGCATACAGTCAGAGCAGTCTCCCTCCAGCCATGGGAGGGAGGAGCAACTAGATGCCACCTGAAAACGCTCACACTGTCCCCATCAGTTTTGCCTGTCCAAGGCTCAATCTTGCAGAACTTCTTCAAGTTACAATTCCCGGTCCCCTATACAATAGCCATACGTTCCTAATGTTCGACTGCAATCACTTAACAAACATTTATAAAATGCCTACTAGGTGCTAGGAATCTTCTAGACTTTGGGGCTAGACAAAACAAGGGCCCTGATCTTCTCATAGCTAACATTTCTACGACGAGAGACAATAAAGACAAATACGGTAAAAAGTGCAATGTTCCACATGGTAGAGACATATGGTAACAAGTGCAAAGAAAAGAAAAGCAGCCTGGGAAAGGGGCGGAGTGCCAACGGCAAGCAGAGTTCAGGAGCAGGTGCATTTTTGGCAGGTGCGCAGTGAGAGCAGGGAGGGCAGGTGTTATCTGGAGAAGGGGTGAGGGGTGGTGGTGACTGGAGCGCGTGGGGAGCTAACAGCACAGAGGGGCGAGTGCTGGGCGAGGAGGTTGGTCAGAGATGAGCGGGAGAGGCGTGACCATGGGCGCACCGTTAAAGTCAATGCTTCCACAGCAGTCTTTGGTAAAACACATTTACAAAATGTTTTTAATTCACTGCAGGCTATTTCTTTTAAAACACCTTAAAATAAATTTTTAAAAAGGAAAGAAAGAAATAGAGGAAGATATACAAAGTACAAGCCCTAGTGTCTCTTGTGACAGCACCGAGAGTGGGACGCCCAGGAGCTCATCTGGAAGCAGGAAACCAAGGATTGTCTTAAGAAAATGGCTGACAAGCCAGCCGTGGGAGCAACTGCCAGCTTCGAGGAAGCAAATGGAGACGCAGGAGATGAACACCCTGCCGACCAAAGGCACCACGAGCAGGGGAAGCCGAGTGAAACCGCCTGATCCTGGAGGCGTCTCCTACACGATGGGCACGAGCGACAAGCTGCACTGTGAACCCATCAGCCTCTGGGTCTCCGAAGGGATGACCAAACTCCAGTCTGCCCTGGGTTATTACAGAAAATGATTTGTAAAAAAATTAAAAATAAAAAAGAAAGAAAATGATTTGTATGGTGAATGAAAATAAAACACACCTTGTGGCAAAAAAAAACAAAAAAAAAAACAAGCCCAAATTTTTATTATAAGGTTCAACTGACGTGAAGTCACTCTGTCAAATTGCTATGAAAGTTTTTAAGCCCCCATTGTAAGTCTCGGGAACCACAGGAGCAGTTGATTCTGTCTATAGAGTCACTATGAGTCAGCATGGACCTGGTGGCTGTGCGATGCTCCACTTGTATTCTTCCTTGGGCCCCGACACCGCAGTGCCACACAGATCCTGCTCACGCTCTGGGCAGCACCAGCCATTGTGAGCACTGTGCCTTTTAGTCGGAGTGATATGTGAAGTCTTAAGACTTTTCTAGGAAGAGTGACCATTGACTAGGAAGGGAAAGGCAGGTTTGCGGGTGGGAAATGGTGAAGCAAGGTATTAATTTTAGATGTGTTAAAATTCAAGACACCCGTTAGGCATTCAAGCTGGAATAAGCTTTTGTATTTCAAAAGGGAAGTCAGATCTGAAGATATCAGCACATGAATGGCTCAGAGGGCAGTGGGCATAAAGAAAAGAGTCAGGACAGAGCCCTGGCACATGTTCAGGCTGTGTGGGCAAAGACCATAGAGGGGAATTGGCTGTGAGACCGGAAGAAAACAGGATGGTATGGGGTCATTCTGGAAGCCAGAAAGATGAAAGTGTGCTAAGGAGGCAATCAGAATGAATGAATGAATGACTATCTCAAGATTGGTTAGTAGGTCAAGGAAGATAAGAATCAGAATTGAGTAACACAGAGAGCGGTTACTCAGAGGTCCCTGGGAGGTTCAAATGGTTTACTCTCACTGCTAACCCAAACATTGGCTGTTTCAACCACCCAACAGTGCCTTGGGAGAAAGGATCACCTGAAGATTCAGCCAAGAGACTCACTCACTCTCATTTACTGACTCACTCTCTCACTGACTCAATCACTCACTCTCTCACCCTCTAATTCTCTCACTGTCACTCACTCTCATTCACTGACTCACTCTCACTCACTGACTCACTCTCTCATTCACTCACTCACTTGCTCGCTCTCTCATTTACTCACTCTCTCACTCTCTCACTCACCCACTCTCATTCACTCATTCGCTCACTCACTCACTCACTTTCTCACTCACTCACACACTCACTCTCTCATTCACTCACTCACCCACTCTCATTCACTCACTCACTCACTCACTCACACACTCATTCTCTCACTCACTCACTCTCTCTCACACTCTCTCATTCACTCACACACTCACTCTCTCACTCACTCTCACTCACTCACTCACTCATTATCTCACCCATTCACTCTCATTCACTCACTTACAAAAAAAGAAAAAAAAAGATTCAGCCAAGAAAACCCTAAGGAACAATGCACTCGGTGCCCAGTGATGTAAGGGGTCACCATGAGTCAGAATTGACTCAAGGGCAATAGGCTTGATTGGGAGTTTACTCAACAACAATTTAGCAACAAGGATAGAGAAAATGCAAAACAGCAAAAGAGACACGGCGAAACTGGAAAAAGGAATTAAACAGTTTGTCCCTTCCAAACAGGACAACACTGTCCCTTAGATTTATATGCTAAGAACTATGCCTCCCAGCTTGAAGATACCATGGGTAAAATGATTCTTAGGAATACATAACTAAAGACTTTAGAAGAAAAGTAAATCTCTTTACAGAAAAATAAGCAAACTTGGTCAAACAGGTGCTAAAACTAGGAAATTGTAGAGGAATTCTTAGGAGAATCAAATATTTAATTCTTGTTCACAGGATAATGAGTGATACAGTTACCATCCAGAGAAACTCCCAATTTGGAAAGACATTCGCATCTTTAACTAGCACACCCAGAGCTTCTGGAACAGATTAGAATGTGACAAAAATGCTCTAGAAAAAAGTGTCTCACTTGTTTACAAATAACAATTTGGATGGGATTCTTATTATTTTTTGGCATTCTGAAATAAAGATAATATTTTGACAGAAGCAAAGGAGCTGTACAAAGGGTTGTGGGGAAATGGGATGAAAAGATCATGAAATCTTCCCAAGAACGTTTTGCAGCACCCTTGAATTGTGCTTATAACCCACACTGGTGGATCTACACAAAGGAAACCCAGACCACCACCACAGAGGATGCCCAGGCATGGGATGGCAGGCCTAACGCTTTTTAGAGAAAGCCTCCACAGAGGTACCCTCCTGGGTTTACCTCTTTTCCAACTGTTTTCCAATTATTTATTAAACATACCTTAATTGCTCCAATAGCCCCAATTGCAACTTCAGGTGGCAATATCACTGGTTTGGCATA